CAGATAACCTACTAAGAAAAATTATTGTATGCTTACATATACAAGTATGATGTATTAATAAAATTTACTTGCTTGACCAAATTGAGAGAGACTATTTAAGGGACAGAGGCTTCATTTCGATTTGTGATTTCAGATATTTCAATCCAAGAATAGATGGGCCTGCTTTTTGAGCCAGAACACTGTGACCTCAGAAGCCTATGTTATAGGAGGCTGCTCAAGTTATGGAAGTGAGGATACAAACAGAAAAAGACAAGTTCCAAAGTTAAGGTATAAATTTCAAAACAACTCACAAATTTCTCCTACTAAGTATTTTCTATCCCCAGTTCCACCAACCCCAATAGTTTATCACTCAGATGCTGACACCATCAATGGGTTAAACAGAAGAAAGGGGAGAGAGAAAGACCTTAAGGGGACAGGATCTCCACAAGGAGAGCAACAGAGCCAAAATATCTGGTCTCAGGAGATCCTGCAGAGATCGATGTATCAACCAAAGACCATGCATGGATAGGACCTAGACCCCTAATCAGATATAGTCCATGGACTCTCAGTCTCCACGTGGGGAGGAGGGATTTTCTCTGACATGGACTCATTGGCAGGCTCTTTGACCATGTGCCCCTGGCAAGGTGGTCTAAATAGGTCACAGAGAAAGAGGATCCAGACAGTCCTGATGAGACCTGATAGGCTAGGATCAGATAGTAGGGGGGGGGAGGGAACCTCCCCTATCAGTAGACTAGGGGAGGGACATAAGGTGGGAACATTGAGGAAAGGTAGTACAAGGAGGAGATGAAGGAGCAGGCTACAGCTGGGACACAAAGTGAATAAATTGTAATATATAATAATAATAATTAAAAAGAAAACCTTCACTGTCTGCTCCTCTGTGAGATACCATCTCAAACACAAAAAGGTTTACATTAGTATGCATGCATTAGATATGTATGTATGTATGTCTCTAACATCAATTTACCTATCTGTCATCTATTACCATCTAACAATTCTATTTGTTGGTTTTCTAAGAGAAACTTGGTTAATACATAGTGATATCAACTAATTATAAAGAATAATTGTAAATACCAATAGAAAAGTAGTAAAACATATTTTAAAATCTTACAAAAGTCCTGAAAAGAAGTCTTACTCAAAGCATACTCAAATATGTGACAAATTGACATATTAAAATGTTCCACATCATATGCCAGTCAAGAAATGCAAATTATAACAAAATTAGACTATACTGCTTACACAAATAATAGTTGGAATAAAGAGCATTGATATCAACAATGCTGATAGAATGTGAAGATGTAAGAAACAAGGTGCTAATTACTGGAGTGAATGTAAAAATTTATAACACTTGAAGAACATTTGAAAAAATTTAACAAAACATATGTTTTACCTTATGATATAGTAATCACTTTCATAGTTATTTGCACACTCACATTTACAAAGTGTGAAAACATAAAACCTTGTTCACAGATGTTTACATACTTTTTGTTTATCATTATCAGAGATAACAGTAAACAAGATAGGCTTTGATACATGTACAATATGTACTAAATCTAGACAGTGAGGTTTTGGTGTGCTGATATATTGATATGCGATATGTGCTACATAAAAATAGTCAAGTATTATCACTCAAACAAAGGAACTTCCAAAGTATGAAAAATAGGAAAAGAGTGAGTATGAAGAAGACAATCTAAATAAGAAAATACCATATGTTTAAATTACGCAATATTTGTAAATGCCAAACAGTTCAAAAAGAAAAAAAAATACAGTGATTGTCAGTAAAGGAAGAAAGGAAGGATGATTAAGCAGAGGATAAAAGAGGTCTAAGGTAAGTAAAATTCTTTATCACCTAGAAACATGTAGATATACATCACTATGTTTTTGCCAGAACTCTTAGAAAGATAAACAAAAGGGACCCTTGCTGTAACCCTAGAAGTAAAAAAAAAAAAAAAAAAAAGGTAATGGAGTGTCCATGAAGGCTTGTAAAAAATGTCCTACCCTGAGAGACACAGTGATGGTATGAAATGCCATGAGGGTGTGTAAGTGAAGAATATGTTTGACTCAGCTGCCCTTTTCTTTCTAATTTTTATTGTAAGAGGGCATAGAATATGATCCCCAAATAAAATCCACTGAAAGGGTAAAAGAAAAACTATTAGCCACCTCTAGGTTCTCCAGGTCATATGTATCTAAGATGGTTGATAATGGTCAGTGTATAATGAGAAGACACTAGCAAACTGTTAGATTATCTGGTCCTTCACCTGCTTCTTATGGTGACAACAGTTAAACAGCATACTGGACTGCAGTATAGAGATTTGTAGATTTAGATGAACCTAAGGACATTAGTCCTGAGAATTGTGAGGTAATTTTTGATTTTACCTGTTCTTTCTATATTCAATTTGGCTGTCATGTTTCTTTCTAATTGGCTCAGGAAGTAGATACAGTGAACAAGAAGAGACATAGTGTAACTTCAATGCACATATGGAAGAAGGAGCTTTACCTATTTTCCTGCTAGATCCTTCAAAATGACTGACTTTAAAAAGTGTATGTGAAACAGTGATTGGTTTTTACCTTTAGATATTTACGTTTTGTAAAATATCAATTTAATGTATTATGAAAAGATACATCTATGCAACATTTTAACTTTTCTCCCTTAAGACATAAGGTCCATTCCTCCACTGAGGGGCATCTGGGCTGTTTCCAGCTTCTGGCTACTACAAATAAGGCTTCTACAAACATGGTTGAGCAAATGTCCTTATTGTCTACTTGAGCCTATTTTGGATATATGCCTAGGAGTGGTATGGCTGGATCTTGAAGAAGCACTATTCCTAGTTGTCTGAGAAAGCGCCAGATTGCTTTCCAGAGTGGTTGTACAAGTTTACATTCCCACCAGCAGTGGAGGAGAGTTCCCCTTTCTCCACAACCTCTCCAGCATGTGTCGTCACTTGAGTTTTTGATCTTAGCCATTCTGATGGTATAAGGTGACATACAGAAATTGTGGGACATCTACACAATGGAAAATTACTCAGCAATAAAAAACAAGCAAATCATGAAATTTGCAGGTAAATGGTGGGATCTGGAAAAGATCATCCTGTATGAGCTATCCCAGAAGCAGAAAGATGCACACGGTATATACTCACTCATATAGACATATAATATAAGATAAACCTACTAAAATCTGTAAACCTAAAGAAATTAATCAAGAGGAAGGATTCTTGCTAAAATGCTCAATCCCTATCCAGAAAGGAAAAGAGGATGGACATCAGAAGATGGAGAAAAGAGGGAACAAGTCAGGAGCCTGACACAGAGGACCTCTGAAAAGCTCTGCCCTGCAGACTATCAATGCAGATGCTGAGACTTATGGGCAACCTTTGGGCAGACTGCAGGGAATCTTAGGAAAGAAGTGGGAAATAGTAAGATCTGGAGAGGATAGGAACTCCACAAGGAGAGCAACAGAACCAAAAAATCAGAGCACAAGGGTCTTTCCTGAGACTGATACTCAAACCAAGGACTATGCATGGAGATAACCTAAGACCCCTGCACAGATGTAGCCCATGGTAGTTCAGTATCCAAGTGGGTTCCATTGTAATAGGAATGGGGACTGTCTCTGACAGGAGCTGATTGGCCTGCTCTTTAATTACCTCCCCCTGAGGGGGAAGCAGCATTACCAGGCCACAGAAGAGAACAATGCAGCCATTCTTGTTGAGACCTAATCGACTAGGATCAGAAGGAAGGAAAAGAAGACCTGCCCTATCAGTGGACTTGGGGAGAGGCATGCATACAGAGAGTGAAGGAAGAGGGGGATTGGGACTGGAGGAGGGAAGGAACCAAAGGGGGATACAAAATGAATAAAGTATAATTAATAAAGATTTTTTAAAAAGATGTAAGGTTCATTTATACTATGTTTTTCTTAATAAAATTATCTGTGTTTCAAATATACAATATATTTGCCATTTACTAACTAATTTTATGTATCCTCTGCATGTTCATTCCTACATGATTCCAATTACTACTTACATAATTACTATATGTAATGAGAAACTGCTCTCTGTAAGAGAAATACTAGAGACTTTTGCATATGCATGAATTTGGTGAGTCATTTATTATTGTACTCTTAGAATTTATTTAGATAGCAATCATTTTTTTCTTTGTTTATCTTCAGGAAAAAATCTCTCCAAAATGGCCTCAATTATTTGCTCAGTATATTTGAAATTGTGATATCTTCTTTCCTGGTGCCTAGGGCTTTGCAATCTAAATCACTGTAAATCTAATCAATTCAATTGCAAAAGAAGAGAGACAGAGAGAAGAACTATCTTAGTATATAGTTTTGTATACTGTGGCTGGATTCACTTATCCTTTCTGCTGTTACAGTTTCTCGTTTTATTTCCAACATTGGTTATATAACTAATCCTCTCATATCAAAATATCATTTATAAAAGTGTTTATAAAAATTTGAACCAAGAGGTTCTATTTGGTAACGTCCAATAGCAAACAATAAAATCTAATTGAATGTGAATTTGATGGAGATTGCTGGTATTTGCATCAAGGGTAAGACAGTTAAGATATGTTAATGAGAATGGTTCAAAAATGTCTGGCAAGTCAATGAAATGGTGAGATGGATGAAGATGGCAGCCTGATAACCTGAGTTTGATCCCACATCCCATAAGGCAGAAAGAGAGAACATACATTCACAAGTTGTTCAATGACTTCCACCTGCATGCTCATGCTGAAGGCTGCCTTGGGGAGCCATCCAACCCAGAAAACATATAATGAACGATTATTTTATTTTGAGACTTATAGACTGGTTTGAGATATTTTAACGAACACAAACATGTCAATGATTCAGTTTTTGAATAATAAGGTATTATTTTTCTTAAAAAATGTAGCTCTCATGTAAAACTTGCTATTTTAAAAACCAATACTGAAAACAGTATTCATGTGTCTCAAAATGTTACTTGTTTAATGTACAATTTGTACTGATTGTTTTTTAACTCTTCATATTCTAGGAGTCATTAGAACAGCTTTGCACAACATGGATAGAGAAGCCAGAGAGCATTACTCAGTGGTCATTCAAGCCAAAGACATGGCCGGGCAAGTTGGCGGACTTTCCGGATCCACAACTGTCAATATAACCTTGACTGATGTTAATGACAACCCACCACGGTTCCCACAGAGTATGTACCTTTGGTCTACATGTTGCATTTATCATCAATCATTATGCAAAACAAATGGGATAACTGAATACATTATGTACTGTTTTATTAAGTGAGAGTGTTATTCCTTGCTGGTCTCCTTTGTGTTTTTGTCTCTTCATTGGTACTATGTAAAGATATCATTTGACCTGCTGCCTTCTAATTCTGAAACACATAAAATGCATTATACAATTAATGAAATCTTACTTGATACAAAGGAGACATGTATTTTTAAAACATTCATGGATATATTTACACTGCATTCTCATGTGGGTATTTCATCCATGCAACAAATTCATATTCAAGTTATGAAATTGCCTAAAAATGAATGTATACTGTGTATGTGAATGTGCCCTCACACACACATGCACATGTGTGTGCCTGCATGCACGCACTCCAACACATACAAGTATCTTCTAAAGGTTGTTTAAATGGGATTTAATAAGTTTATGTTTCAGAATGGAATATGAATGTATAAAACATAATTCATAATGCAAAAGGAAGTGCAAAAGCAGGGAGATGTGAATTTTGTGTCTTTGGAAAGAGCTGTTTTTTATGCAATCATAGCAGAGCATCATTAATAGTGTCAGGGGCTAGCTCTCTAACACTGAGTGGGTCTCAGGTTGAGCCAGTTATTGGTCAGACAGTCCCTCAATCTTTGTTCCCTCTTTATCCCTGCACTTCAAGTAGGCAGGGTCATTTCACTTAAAATATTTTAACCATATTTATCTCCTTGTTTTTCCCCTTACCATCCTCTCTACCACCCCCAAATTTTTCATAAATACCTTTTTCAAAGATATTGAAGTTCTAAATAAGCCCTTAATCTCAGGTTGTAGAAGATAGGAGCTTAATGAACAAGTGTTTGAAGTAAAATTGTAGTTTTCAAACTATCCTTATCACTATCACTGTTTCTAAAAAGTTTTTATCTTTACAAGCTAGTTAAGATTCTATGATACACTTAAACAACAATAAACTTTTGTCATATGTGGATAATATGGTTTATATTGATGAATCTAGATGACAAATGCATTTCTAATTGTATTATTTTGGTAGATAACAATGCGGATGTTTAAAGAAAAAATAAAATTAACTGCCTTCTCTGACAAGAAAACATTAGATGTGTACTTTGACTGAACTTACTGTGGTTTTCTTCCACTTACAGTCTTTTGTGTAGAGTAAAAATAATAAAATAAAATAAAACAGATTTTGATCCTGCATACTCAGAAATGTGGTTAGCAATTTGATATGGAGGTAGTGCATACCTAGATTCTGTTACTTTGTCATGTCTAAAAGAAGATTTCAACTTTGATTAAAAATAAGCACAATGCTGTATTTTGAATAACTTAGTATCACTATGGTAGCACACATTGCAATAGAAGAGTTGATTGATTTATGCAGATACATTGTTGTTTATCAAATAGCTATTTACATGGTGGGAAGTCATAATAGGCTACCTAAAAGTAAAGATAGGTAATAAACACTATATTTTCACAAAGAGGAGGGTGTTCATGAATTTTTCAATAATTGAAAGGGTATACAGATCATATCTGTGAGATGGATAATATTCTGTTTCTCTTGACATGTGGAATTTTTTAAACCTCTATGAGCTTATGATTTCCATCATTCATCATAAAACTCAGAGATGTTTCTTATCATAACATTGCAACTAACTTTAGTATGAATGCCTGCCTTGTAACATTCTAAATGAGGCCCTCAAATGTTTTTCTTTCCCCAATATGTATGACAAAATTATAGACTTCCATAATGTACTTAGTAATCATTCTGTCTTGCAATAAATAAGGCTTGTATTATTTGACCAATTTAACCAGAGTACTCTACTATGTTGTTTTCCTTTTATTGTAGATTAAACAAGGTTTGTTTTTTGTAATGTGTCCTCTTCTATTTTCTTCAGTTTAGCTATGATAACATAGATATTAACTGATTTTTATCCTTTCCCATGTAAACTTTTTAAATCTATCTATTGAGATGTGACAGAGGTCTGTCACACTCTATTCAAAGTTCTCATTTCTATACCAATAATTACAATACTAAACCTGTCGTTTGTGCATTGTTGCTCTATCAGCCTCAGTTTTGTAGATATATAGTTTCTGTAAGTGTTCCTTAAGCTGGATATTTTATGCTACTTCTGTTCTCTATATTAACTTACTTCTCTGTTCTTTGGCTTCTCCAGTGATCTTTCTGACACATTAACTAAGCACACATTTCAGCAGTCATATACTAAATTTCATTTGTACTTTCTAATACAGAGCCTTGGTTTAAGATAAAGATCACCACCTTTTCTTTCTTTAAACATAATGAGCACACTTAATTTATAACCATTTCCCAATACTTCTAATTTAAAAGTCATTGTGTTGAACTTTTCTCCTCTCTCTAGTTCTTGGAAAAATAAAGTAATTAGAGTTCTCACTGCCTTGGGAGCAGATGTATACATTAAAATGGTCAAGGGCTAGTGAACTAAGTACCTCTTTATTACCCATCAGGTTTCTATTTCTGAAGTGTGCTTTAGAAAGTATTACCAGTTCACAGTGGAGTCAAAGAAATCATGAGAAAATATCTCATACAGTGCAGGAAATTATGGCCCATTCAGAAACAAAAATGGGGAATAATGAGGTTGGATTGGCTACAGTGGTAAAATTCTGACATCATTTGAAGACATTACAAGAAAAATGTGCTAATGTGGCACAATATTACAAGTGGGTGTCTGTATTATGAATATTCAAAAGGTGAAAGAAGATGTTTTTTAATGCTGTGTCTAGTACGGTGCTTAAAGGTTCAGATAAGTTGCCTCATAGTATTTCACATTGTATCTCAAAAGGTCTGTGCTTCATCCACTACAAAGCTAATATTTAAAAAAATAACAGTTTTATGTAACTGTTACTGCATTTTAAGGATCCAGTTCTTACCATTTAATCCCTTTTCTTTGTAGAATATATCCTTCATTTTTGTTTACATTTGAAAATGTTTAATATTCCCAATGAATGTTTTATTCAGTTTAATCTTCTTTTATAAATGTGACACATAGTACTCTCTTAGTTTTATTGCAGTTGACAAATAATGCATTTTTCACAATTTAAAGGTTATCGCAGACCTATTTCAAACAATTCTGTGTGTATGATTTTCCAGAAAGAGGTTTTATATTTCAAACTGTTTCATTATCACAATATCTGCCACAGTGGCCTGTGACCCCAGATCTTGATTGTTACAGGTAAAATTGTTTTGGATCACCATGAATCATGGCACACTTTCCCCATAAACATTCTCTGTATTGTGAGTCCTCAGGGACAGATCACTCCATCACTTATCTCCCTCTCCTTGGACCTTATGTTTCTTTGAGGTCAATATTGATGTTAAAAGAATTAATAATAGTACAATTGCTTCTGAATTATTGAGTGGAAAACAAAGAGTCAGAAGGCTTACATGTTGAGTTAAAAATGAGTGATTGCCTTCAGTTTAGGTTGCCATGATAATCAACACTGATATTAAATAGAAATCAGAGCCTCTAGTGCTGAACAGTTAACCTGTTAATTCAAAGGATCACAGAGGATATTAAAAACTTATTCTAATAAAGTTGTGATTTATTAGAAAATGAAGAAGGCACAGTGCTGATATGCAGAAAATATTAATGATCTGGACAAGAGCCGTAGTCATACTCACTATTCCTTTAAGTTTGAAGCTTGAAACAGAGCAGGTCATAACTCTGAATTCTGTGATGGAGAGAAGTTGATGAGAAAGTTGCAGAGGAAAGCAACAAATCCAGCTGTGGTTCTTTCAGGAAGCCTAAATGTAGACATCAAATTTATAAACTGAAAGTTCAAGGTAAGGTATTAGTTATTCATGAGGAAACTATATCAGATTACACAAAGCTCTTACATGGTAGCTAAAGAAATACAAAGTGGCTAAAAGCCACTTGGCTCGTGTAAAGGTCCTGGTTTCTATCCTAAGGCTCACCTGTAATCTAGCTCCAGGAGTCTGATGCCCTATTCTCTCTCTCTCTCTCTCTCTCTCTCTCTCTCTCTCACACACACACACACACACACACACACACACACACGGACAAAGACAAATTAACATAAAATTAAAATAAAAAATAGTATATATGTAATGAAAAATATATTTTTTTGAACAAAAGAATTTTGGTGCAGAAGACCACCCTTTATTTAAAACAACCTAGTAACAAAACCACTCAATCTTAGATTTAATAGCTATGGGTATGTCAATGCCTGGTTTCAAAGTTTAAAAGGACAAACTATATTGTTATGGTTAATGCAGCTGTAACACTGGGTAGAACATAGTGTTCATTTATAAGGAAGCTTCATTTCCTAGAAATCCCAAGGTCTGGCAATATGATATCCCCCCCCCAAAAAAAATGAAAACACCAAAAGTACTTGTGATATCTCAGTGATTTTTTTTTTTTTCTCAGCAGAGTGTTTGCCTATTTGCTCTAGAATTCCTCTGTTCACTAATATTCTTAGTGGTTAGTTCAATGAGGTTGAACTTGAATTCTTTCCTTTGAAAATATGAGTTTTTTTTTTCCTTTCTTCCTTTTTTTGGAACCATGTAGGTTTTTTCTGTTATTTATTTATTTTTAATTATTACAATTTATTCACTTTTTATCGCAGCTGTAGCCCTCTCCCTGGTCCCCTCCCAATCCATTTTCCTCCTTTTTCTCTGCCCATTCTTCTCCTCAAGTCCATTGATAGGGGAGGTCCTCCTTCCCTTCCCTCTGACCCTAGCCAATCAGGTCTCTTCAGGACTGGCTGCATTGTCTTCCTCTGTGGCCTGGTAACACTGTACCCCCAAGCAAAGAGCCAGCCACTGAGTTCATGTCAGAGATAGCCTCTGCTCCCATGAGTAGGGAATCCACTTGAAGACTGAGCTGCCATGGATTACATCTGTGCAGGAGTTCTAGGTTATCTGTATGCATCCTTGGTTGGAGTATCAGTCTCAGAAAAGACTGCTGG